TGTCTTCAAAATAAGGGTGCGTCTTATATTCCGAAAAATACGGTAGCTTATTTTTACTATAGTGCGCAGCCCCTAGTGACATGTATTACGAGGTCACTTAAATTCTAATGTGCATGGAATTCACAGTATTTTTTAATTTGGAAGTCCAAAATCTATTTTAGGTTTAATTCAAACAAAATATTTAAGAGACTTCTTTCTCAGACATGATAAGTTCCATATGATCGGGTTCGATCTTAAAACGTATAAAATCAATTATATTATTGACTTATTAAAAACGTGGAAGCAAAGGCATGTAAGTTAACTTTTTTCTTTCTTGTGCTATGCTTTGTACTAGTGTACTTTTGTGTGTATTTTTAACACAATTTTTGTGTATAAACATGGCATGCTGTAATTTTTAAGAAAATGTTACGTCTCTGGTAGTTTGTTAATTTCCCGTAAAAATTCTTTCCGAAGAACTTCAGCGATGCAAGTCCTTTCTTAAATAAAACTAATTTGTTCTTTCTCAACACAATTTTGCAATACACAGAATTTCCACAGTCACTTTAACTTAAACACACGCTATAATTCACAACGATTCACGCACTTTACTTACGGTCACTACCGCTCACTCGACTCGATTATCTGTCTCTATATCTCCCTATCTGCCCTTATCTATGCCGTCACTTCTCACCCACTCTATTTGCCGGGCTTATATATACAAAAATAGAGGGTGCATAGTAAAAACTAGAGTTGCCAGGAACAGACATGATCCTTCTAGAATCTCATGACGTGTTATTAGCGTCACGTGACTTCCGCTGTCGTAACAAAAGCACAAATTTATACAGTTATACTTGTCATAAGATATTAGTACTAGGCCTATTACATTTTTAAAAACTACACTATTTAATCAGTTCCTACTATTATTAAAAGTCCTTTTGGGATTTTCAAGAATTAGAAGTAATTGGTATGAGGCAAAACGCGTCGTCGGCAATGGATATGACGAACATTGGTTTAAATGCAATTTTATACGCCTTTCTAATTGTTGAAAATCTTAACCCGCGTGTAATTTCCTAAAAAAAATAACAAAACAAACATTACACTAAATACAATTGTTATGGGCTTTCTCAACTTATTTAGGTTTGAAATACGTATGCGCAGTTCATTCAAAAACCATATGCTTATAACTTTGTGAACACGCACCGGACGTTTCTAGATAACCAACTAAGTTTGCCTTCATTACAACGTTACTTTACAATAATATAGCTTCAGTTCGTTTCATAGAATGCCATAAATACCTTTTAGCCATCTTAATCTTTAGTATGGGTTTTATTCTTCGTTTTTGTGAGTTTCTTTGTTTCAACTCGTAAAACCTTGTCATACACTGAACTCTCATAACTGTTTCATACTCCGTACACTGTTATACATATCATTACTAATCTTATTTTTACTTTACGTGTAATTTTATTAAATAAAGTTACGTCTACGTGAGCTTGTTTGTCTGATCGCGTAAAATGTTTTTCAAATAGACCAGAATTTATCTAGCTAACACGTAATGCATGCAAGAAAGCATAGCTTAAATGCCATGCGTGAAAATGATAGAATAATGAAAATTCAAGCGAAGGGCATCAAAACTACCGCAAATGTTTTGCGGGTCGCGGCATGTTTAGTTTAATACTATTGGTATAAAAAATAGGCTTAAGTTTCATCAACAGTCGACAGCAAATGAAAAAAATAAAAATAGGGGGGATATAGTTATATACTATTTTTATTGTTTTTCATGTATATTCTTGATCTATTATTATAAAAGTAACTAAAATGTAAAATTAGAAACTTATCAGGTTATATAATAATAGATTAGGTAAGATAATGAAAAATAATAATAAAAATTCCTCATGAAGTGTGCTCACTAGCAGTTATATTAACGTGAGCTGTACGTTCATTGAGCGACACTAAAGATAGAACAAATCAGAATTATAGGCAAATTAGGTAGGTTAGCATCATTTTCTATGAAAAAAAAAAAGGTTTTATTTCTTATGAAGGAAGTTTATAAGTTCAATAAGTACTTATTATTAATCCACTATATGTTAAAGCATTAGATAAACATTAGATAAATCATAAAAAAACAAACTATTTTAGGATATTTCAAAAATTGAACATTGTAATTATTTGTTTCTTTCCTAAACTATGCTTGCACATTTTATCTGTCTTAGTAATGGTGTGGCAGCGAACAAAAGGAGTGGTAAAATAAATCTTTCTTCAGTAATAGTCATTAATTTTTATCTGGAGTCTGATAGAAAAAAATTATACATAGTAATATATCATTGTTTGAAGTTTTTTTGTTTTTATACTTATTGAATGCACAATCTTTTTCCAGCAATGCATCTTTCACTGAGAAGGAAATTGAGGTAAGACAATGTAAATTAAACCAGTTTTCTGAATGTTAATTTTTCTAAACGTTTTAATGCATTTCATAAATGGAACCATATAATTGATCTGAATAAGTGCTTGAAGCATATAAAGAAAGATACCTCTAAGTTCAAACTTTTAAACTAATAACTGTTGTTCTAATACTGTAAACTTATTCCAAAAACTTGTTGATTTTTGTCCAAGTGCAAAATATAGACACATTAATTGCTCTGTTAGACATAACTGCTAAACCCTTAGTCCTACAATGCTGTTTGGTTATTCACCAAAGACTCTAGTCAGTGCCTATTAAAATCTGTTACTGCTTTAGAAGTTAAACATTTGAGCAAAATATTAAAGCCAAGTATAAGGTATTTATTTACATAGTTGTAAAGAAATACTTTTTTACTTCTTTTTTTAAACAGCAAAAACAAATTCTAATCAAAGAGTTTTATGAGAAAAAAGGAGATACAAGGGGTATAATCATATAAACATGTAGGGGAACAGAAGAGTCAGATTTTTACTTGATTATCTAAGACAGAAGGAGGTGGAAAGTTCTGTTTATACAGCTTTGTGACATAACCACCAGCATTCATATGGAATAAATGTCTTGTGGGTTACATATTTTAAAATACTAGCCATGTGTGGAAGTTTATTAAGAGTAATATTCAGAATGTTATCAGGGTATGAAGCAGGCTAGGGTTTTTTCATTTGGATTCTATAACATATGAGGTAATTTTGTTTCATTTAACCAGTATACTAACAGGAAATAAACTGAACTCATATTATCAGAATGCCCATGAGGTGAGCTGAGTTTGTTTGACCAGAATGCCCACATGGTATGAAGCAGGTTGAGTTAGTATTATGGGTATGGGAACTTTGGGTACTTAAGGTGCAGAGCACCTTGTGGCTTGATGTACAGGGGTTTTGTGGTATTATAAGAAAAGTGAAATTAAGGAAATTACTAGCTTTGTGAATAGAGTTGCCACTTGCCCAGTTTCTGACTAGAGAATCTGTTTTTAGCAAGTTACCCTGGTTCTTTGAATGCATGGTTCCTAGAATATATATAGTTTCAGCACTCCAACTACAGGAATTGTTCCATCATTAATGGTTACTTTCTTTTTTGTGCTTTCCATAGAATGTTGTCACTAAGACTAAGAAAATATGGTACTTTTTTTAAGGACTTTAATTCTGTCTAGCTCATGCTGGTTTCTTCGTGCTGAATGTGTGGCATTGCGTTTTCCACCTTAGATGATGACTTCTTTTACAATTTAGATTACAAGCATAATCCAAAAATTATCTCAGTCATGATGTAAAGGTTCTGCTTCTAGCAGTGTGTAGGCAACTAGCCAACTGTCGTTTTAAAAATAGAGCATCAGCAGGTATTTTTAAAATCTTTTTAATTACACTCCATGTTTCCAGTTTTGGCTACTACTTATGATTGTTTAGCGTCCAGCCTCATGACTTTTAGTTCAAAATATTCTCAATAGATTACTATAGTGTTACTTTAATATTCCTAACCACTGTGTCCACTCTGAAAACTAGACTTGAACATGTGGATCACGGTATACCTTGATACATATACATTTCTATAATCGTGGATATCATTTACACTTGCAGATGGTCAGGATTTTTGTCTTTTTTTGAACACCTTTTCCACTTTAATATTTAGTTTTTATCCAGAGGCTAGTCATAAATTTGGAACTAATAAATTTTTGAGTTTCATTTAAATCACATGTAGATTTATACCTTTAATTGAACACATTCTCTTATATCTTTTTTAGATAGTGATTTTGTTAAAGAATTAAATCCAAAGGATTGCAGCAGTCACTTTTAGAGTTCTGTTGACCATGTATTTGGACATTGTTCTTGTTTTTGTATTCAAAACTTAATGGCCTGTAAGACCAAAGGCTGTCCTTGTGTGAAATTGAGTCATTATTTGTGTTTACATATGGTGAGATTACTTGTGTATAAAACATTAAAAGTATGGAACTCTATTGTTTTATTAATTAATGCAGGTTTGTGGTAAAAAGTTGTTATTACTACTATAATTTCTTGTGATAAAGTAAACTTTTTCAATTAATACCATTTTAAGCTTAACTAAGTTTTAATAAATGTAAACATACTAACAATTTACCATTCTCTGAAAGTAAGACTTCAAATATAAATGGTCTTTATAAGTTCTCAACAAACACAGATTCCTTTGTGAATAAACCAGAAAATTGAATACGTGACATGGCACTTATATAATGTCCAAGCAACCTTATAAAGTGATCAAAAAAAAAAGCTTGGATGTTTGCTTCTCTCATGACCCAGTAACTTTACAAAGTGATCCAAAGAAAATATAGATGTTGCCTTATCCTGTGACCTTGACAAATAACATACAAAGTATAGATTATTTTTAACCCATGCCCCAATGAACTTAATAAGTGATCCAGATCCATACAAAAGATGGTTGATCCTTTATTTCATGTCCTGCTCTAGTAGCCTGAAATGATCCAGATAATATATATAGACTTGTGAAGTGATTCAGACATTGCATAGACATTTCCTCTTCTCGGTAATCGTTTCTTAGACAACTTGGTGTTAGTATACAGACAGCAACTATTGGTTACACATCCAGACAAAGAGTGACCTAGAAAACTTTGTTAGCAGAGTAAGAGGCTTGACATGGATTACTATGGGTGATATAACTAAAGCATCGTTTATTTTCAATATTACAAGTAGGAACATGTCATAGCTTCATTTACCACAATGTAACACTAATTGTTTGAAAATTTGCAATGCTATATTAACTGTTTGTATTCTATTTTATTTCACAGAATATGATATTTTATCACAAGTTTTTTACTCTTTTTGATATTATACACACTTGGTGTTCTTACACATAATATTTTGATTCAATTACATTTTTAGAACATGTTTAATATTTTATCAAACATTTTATATTAAGAATGTAATACAGGTTTAGTGTTTACTTGTTTCTCACCTAATTAGTACTATAGGTATTGTATGTTCACAGTAAATTATACATTACATTTTATTTACTGCTTTTCCATTTTCTACTTCAAAATTACTTCAGTTTGACAGTTTCTCTTCATTATATCTGTAGGTCAGCTAGTTAATGCTAAATTTATGTGCAATGTTATTTTTTTTCTTGAAATATTTCTGAAACAATAAATATTGTTTTTTTTTTTTGTTTTTATTTTCAGAAAAAGTTTAGTAGTTTGTCACTAGCATTTAAAACAGACAAGCTGACTTTGAATAAGAGGCTAGAGTTACAGCAGCGACAGAGAGATACTGCTGAAGAAAATATTGAAAGTGAAATTCAGGCTTTGAGAACATCATTAAATGTAAGTTTTTTTTTCACTAATATTCAAGATTCTGGCTACCAGCAAAAATTTGTAAAGATATTTTAGGTTGATTACTCCAAACTTAAAATTATATATCTGTTCCTTCTTGACATTGATTAGGATATATTAATAAAGTTTATAATTTTGAATCCAGAAGGTATGAATCTGTAAGTGTTTTATATTGCAAAGAATTACACTTGAATCTGTTACAAAAGTAAATAAACCAATGGTTACTTCATGTAGTAGGGTATTCAGTGTGTATATGTAAGAGAACAGTTGAAATAAAGTAAAATATAGAAAAGAATGTTTTTTCTTTTTTTATAAAATTGGGATTAAATTAATATTTTTGATAAGATTTAATCTAAATAAGGTGTGCAAATCATAATGTCAATGGAGTATTTTAAGTGATCTTTTTCCATGTTTACTTAGACTCTTAATCAGCTAAGTACTTGTCATGAAATGAGAGAGCTGATCTCAAACACTCAACAACAAGTGGATGTTTTACAACAATCTACCTCCAGGGTATCGAGCCGAGCTGAAGTGTATGGTGCTGTCCAGCAGGTACTCTTTGATCTTTCTTTTTAACATATTCACAGAAAGCTTTATATCTAACTTTTTGTGTATATCCAGGTTATCCAGTAGAGCTGGGTGTTGTGGGAAAATGTGACTTGTAATGCTTTTGTCAAAAATCTACTGATTAAATAAGGAAATATTTTTTAAAAAGTTAAGAATTTGTTTTTATCCAATGAAAATCGTTAACATTACAACCTGTGTCTTAATTTTACAGTTGTAGAAGTCGTACAACTGTTGGTGGGGTTTAATAAATGGCGTGCATTTACTGCTTCTACAACTGTTGGTGGGGTTTAATAAATGGCGTGCATTTACTGCTTCTAAAACTGTTGGTGGGGTTTAATAAATGGCGTGCATTTACTGCTTCTAAAACTGTTGGTGGGGTTTAATAAATGGCATGCGTTTACTGCTTCT